AAGTGACCAACTGTGTAACTGGACAGAAAGGTCGGTTGCCGTCCTCCTGGTGGATCTGTATTCGAAAGGGAGACAATCGGCTCCTCCGGATCGGTTCTCTACTTCCTGCATCACGTTTAGTGTAGCCCAAGGCTCCCGGCGCAGTGCAGTAAGTCCAAAGCGCAGTGAGACGGGTGCAAGTCGGGTCCTATTGTGGCTTCCAACGGGGTGCAGGGTGCGGAGGACTGGTTCGGAGGCGTCAGTCGTCTTCCTCTCGAGTCCAGATCCATCAAGAGGAAACGGGACTGACTCAGTACGTCCGTTACATGGTCGCGTCGGGTCGCGATTTCCAATTAGCTTCCATTTAGTTCAAATAATTATTTGTCAGAGTCAGACTTAGACTCTGAAAATCGAAGGGAATTTTGTTTTCCTTTGATTTTCATCGTTTCGTACTTAGTATTGAGCTCGTCGACTCTATGTAGAGTATGCATCTACGTATGTATACTCTATGTAGAGGGAGATCGAAGGAACTTTGATTCCTTCTATCTCCGGGTCTCCAGTCGCAGCAACCTCCACGTGGTGAGACCTGGTAATCGGTATTATTCGTGACAAACAATTCTTTGTCACGAGTAATATCGAGCTAATGGCTGCGAACTTGTAATGTGTGTAAGTGTAAAGTGTAAAGTGAGGTTAGATTTAGATTACCCTCAAGGGGTATACCTCCTGGTGGAGATGTTCCTGTCCATTTAAGGAGATTTCACTCTAGTAACAAAAAAGTGTTCCGTTACAATTGGCTCTTAGTGCGTCACAAACCAATAAAGGAGCTTTCTGATAAAAAAAATGCCCTGTCGCGAAAAAATCATTAAGTATGGTGCAGCAAGTGGTGGTTCGCGATCAGTTAGTCGTGAGATATCCTGTCACTTAATTTTCAATCTCTCCAACTCTTGCGTGTGCGTGAAGTCTGTAAATTTTTTGTTTGCAATTTGTAAAATAATTGTAAAATTCATAAATCTTGAATGTCAATAAATGTTCTAACAAAGTTAATTGTAAAATTTCAAAGTGATTTGTAAGATAAAACTCGAGTCGTAATTAAGTCGAAATTGCTTGCGTAGTATCTGCATGTAATGCCAAATTGTGTTTATAATCATAAAGTTGATTGAAAATAAAATTGAAAAGTCTTTGAAAATTTCTTGACATTTTATAGACGCCTCGGTTTGCCGTATCGTGCAGGTATATGTACGACTTCTCTCTCGACACTCTATTTCAAGAAATAATTTATATCGATGGCTGAAACCTTTTGCAATTTCATTCTCGAGATTTCAAACTACTATTATTTAAAATATTCGTTACGTAAAAATTGCTTACTCGAGCGGTATCAAAAATGGCCACTTTCGAGTGTTATATACCGATTTTTCACGCATTTATTACTGCTCGGGTCGCCGTATAATGGCGAGAAAACGCCAAAATTATTGTAACTGCGTTTACGAACAATTAAAGCCATTCACGGCGAGTGCTCTCGCGAAATGTACACGGCAATACGCAAACCGCGGGCCGATGATCGTGCTCAAACACCGAAGCAGCCGGTCCACGGTTCGCGAACAAACATAGCTGGCCAAGCTTTCAGCCATTAATTTTCCTGTAACGTCTCTGAAAGTAAAATATTTTTATAGCCACTATCCGGTGGGCGTAATTGCCTCGAAATGAATTGATACACGCGCGGAGGACAAGGGTGGGCCCTGACGAAATATAAACGCTCGAACCCGCTGGTAAACACTTTATCCGGCAACCTAATTACCGTGAATGCGACTGATTGATCGATTCAATTCTCCGCGGTGAGATAGCGGAAATTCAATGTCTATGTCGCCACGGAATCGAGATTCCTGCAAATTACGTTCGACCATGTACACGGTACACGAATCATTCTATATGTATGTGCAGAGATGTGTACATGTACGTTCAACACATGCATGATCCAATCAGTTTGTTTCTGACAAGGAACATTCGCGAAGTGATCTCCTTTGATATTTATGATACAATTTGTAGGATCAAAGTGCAGCTTAGAGACATGGGTTATCGATATATAATACTTTAGCTTTAGTAATGCAAGTATGAGTAAAAATATCCTCCAGAATATCCTTCATCTCTTGATGCTATTTACAAAACTATTTCGAGATCAAAGGAAGCTTTTCGAACAAACAGTGTGAAATAAACTTTATCCGTCGACTTGTTTTCACAAAATTCATGGACGACCATCGGCTCTGACATCGTTGATATTACTACTTATACCGAAAGCGTGTATTTATAACGCTAGCCTCACTTGTTGTGAAAAATATAAAATTATTTAGTAAAATAATACCATTTGAACCTCGATATATTAGCATGTGATCTGAAAGTTACACGGGCTCATAGAGGGTTAAATTATTTGTAATAAGCTCTTTCAACTGTAGATTGCCAAATTAAGTAGTAATGCCGACGATGTTACAGCCAGTGACTTTACAAAATCCTTGACAAAATCAAATCAAATCCATGTAAGATAATACCTCACTCACAAGTTTGTTCACTGCTAGAAGTTTATTCACCGGCTAGAAGTTTCCTCAGAAATGATCAAAAATACTGCTAACTAGGAACGAAGAAAGCAACCTCGGCAACGATACAATAGAGACAAACACGATACAACAGTTGTCTACATTTCCAGTCGTAGAAAAATAAACATTATCGCGGTAATTTGTAGAATTCAGAATTACGTGAAAGAATATGTGTGTCACTGTATAATCAAGCGAAAATGCATCGCTTTTACAGAGGGTTCCACTCGTAACCGCGCCGTAGACGTGAGTCGAAACTCGACTGCCGCTAACGAGCTGGATCCATTAGATCGATGGCCAATTAACATAATTCATAATGCGACCACGTTTCACGCGGACGATTCTGCAACGCTTTTCCCCGTTTCGTGCACAAAGGTTTCCTAGCGGCGCATAATACTGCATAATTAAGTGTGTTGATACCCGACAGAGAGAAATGTTTAACCGGTGATTAATATAGAACAACAAGGTGCAACGATTGCAGTTTACAAAGTGACTCGCGTTTTAAACCGATCGACTCATTTTCATTCTAACCACGATCCATCTACATTTCCCAACATTTTGGACACGCCAATTTTGCAGATGCTGAGTAGCAGGACAATGGCGAGTACTGGAGCGCTTCTTCTTTAGGAATAAATTCAAATGTGTAAATAATATACATAGTGCGTCACCAATCAGATTACGATTTGATAAGCAGTACCTATGATCTGACAAAACTATGTTTTGAATAAAAGATAACCAGTACTTAATAGCCAAAAAATTGGAATTTGAAAAAATGATCTGTAGCCAAAAATTAAGGTCACCGTGATTATTCTAAATGGAAACATATTTTTAACTTGGTAATCTTGTAGACAATATCGAGATAAAATGATAAATTGCAGTGTAATATTATGACCTCCATGTGACGTTGAATTATAAAATCATCGTGAATCACTTGCCAAGATATCTGAACTATTTCGAAGATACATAACATCAACGGATCGCATTTACAATGCAACGCATTGCATTCCATTAAAAAAAAATCATAATGACTTTAATTGTTTGCAAAAGAAAATTTTGTTTTGTTATTTTTACAAGTTAAAATATCTTGGCGATTAAACGCTCATTAACTTTTACTTGAAAAATTTTATTGTCAAATTAAAATTAATGGCCGGTGGTGTATTTAATTAAAATTATCCCGTTTAAGTAGAAAACTATTATTCGCAAGAGTAAATAATTCAATGACCGAAACGAATATTTGAATTAAATTCCGTGGCACGGATAACTGTTTTTTATAACCATCAACCATAAAACATTACTGATACTGTTATTGCGATGCAAATTTTTCCACTCGGTCGACCGGAACGTGATAATAGATTTTTGTGTGGGATGGATGAAATAAATTCGAAGGAATTTCCATTTCTGCTAACTCATCAATTCAATTCCCGAAATCTGCGTATTTTGTTATTTCAGCGCGTGTTGCGAAAACAGCAGCGAGGAATACGCGAGACATGCCTGCACGATTATTATTAACCTCGACTGTTCGTCGAAACGAGCGGCCGGCAAGTTTAATTGGGAACAAAGTCGAACGCGATCCGGTATCGTTGAATTCAATTAAATTTTCGCTTAGCGGAACCCCGTTCAACTTCGCGTTTATCGCGAAATGAACAGCGGTATTCGACGGCGAACTTGACAAATCCAGAACTTTTATTCAGGGAACTTTACCGAGAGAATGCATTGCATTTTTGCAAGCTAGTAAGTCAAGGCTCATCGACGCCGTAAACTGGAATTTTTAAATAGCTGTAGCTTCGATACACAAATATGAATGATTTAGATTGTAGTTACCAAATCGAATCATACACGAGGGTCACCTCAAAATGCTGTTTCTTGACAGGGCCTCCGAAAATGGTCAATGTTGTGTTTATTTATTGTTATTTTTTATTGTAAAAATTATGATGTATTCTTCAAAATATGCTCTTTTAAATGCATGAACAGTTTTTGTTCAAATATCTTTAGATGTCTGAATAAAAAATCACAAAAATCATGCTTTTTTCGGCTTTGTGACTGCGCATGACCCCTTGATACGATTTCCTTTCATATTTTCCAACAAGCCCGCACAACAATTCACCGTAAAATTGAAATTTCTCAATTGTTCAATTTCGCAAGCTGAAAAATCCAATTTCTCGATTTCATAGCGAAAAGTAATCGAACGATGTTGTACTCGTCGTCAATGAAAATTCTACTGAATTTCAGGATGAAGGTCGCTCCATTTACCGTGGTACTACGGCACGATAAATACCGTTTCATTGATGCGTAGAATATTAATTTCAAATTGGACAACGCGCGTGTACGTGCCATGGAGTCGCGATCTCGACAATAAAGTTTAACGCGCGAACATAGAGGAACGCAATCTGCAGTAACAGTCGGCTCTAACTAGCCTGCGGTGTTCTGAATTGTACTCACCGGCAGGGACTCAGGAGTGTGGTCCAGCACGTATATGTTGTTCGTGTATCCATATAGCATCGTGTCCAGATCTGAAATCCAAGGAGCGAGCAGAACATTAAATTGGATCTAACCGGTGGCAACACGACGGAATACTAACGCCTGTAAGGCTATGCATAGTTAGCCAGCCGTTCTGTCTCAATGTTCCAATTACGTTCGAGCCATTTCGTGGTCTCTTATCAACACTCTCCTGTCGTCGTCGATACAAGACGAGCGAGAAAATTGAACGACGCACTCGTAAAATCGCCCAACAAAATATATATATATAAAACGGATACATACATCCGGATATATATATCCGTTATTGTCCGATCGTGAAGCAATTCGTGAAGTATAGCGTGCTGCACCGATGGTGATATTTTCCATTTCGGTTAAATCTCGCGGAATCCTCTTCGGGAGGTAGATCTCGAGTTAGCGGTAATAGCACGAAACCGTCGCGTTATGTCAACCACTGCCTGCCATATTACTATTTAACATCTTATTGTTTAGAGTGAAAACTTGGTTTACTTCCGTGACGATGAAGTTTAAAATGTAAGTGTCGGTTCAATTATAGTGGAGTTGCGAGATATTGTTATAAGTTTAGTAAATACTGATGCTTAATAAAAGTTTGATTTAATAAAGAAAAGCTGTTCTGCTCGGTAGCTAGTCTAACACTGCCTGTGCATCTTTTTCTAAAAGAAAACATCGACACAATCATCCACGTCTGTTTTTTATTTATTTTCAGTTTTGCCATGGCAATTAATACTTTGTTATCTACTACGAAGCCACCATTGTATGCTCACGTCATTGTACAAATTATGAAATATTATATAAATATTAGGTCTACCAGAAAATTCTGTCCGTTCCGGTTACAACAAATTTTTAATAAGTATGCGCATATTCATTAAAAACGATATACAAATTGCAATCATATTGGTAGGATGTCATAAATAATAATAAAATTATATTATTCAAAAGAATTTATTCAAGGTATGAGAAATATATTATTTTATGTTATTCTAAAATCGGACAGAACTTTTTGGTAGACCTAATATTAATCATCAAACGCATCTAGTACATGAAATAAATATTATATTATGCGAATGATATAAAAATAAAAAATATTGTCGAATTTAATTCTATGTCTAATCACTACCGATTAGTAGTGTGTTAAGGTTTCTTAAGCTTTGTCTGCTTAATCGTTCGACTTTAGGATTCTTAATTCTATGTTTAATTTTGGGATTCTACGTGTATGTTAGAGAGCCAACGGTTCTTGAGCCTCTGCTCCTTGAAGGATGGAGTACGGATTGACTGTTTCATGATAATCGACTGTGGACGAATGACCATTAACGAATGAATGTCGAATTTCGGAATGTTACAAGACACCACCTCCAACGAACCTTGACGTAGAGTTCGAAGACGGGTGACCCCTAATAGAGAACCAATCGAGAAATTTGAAGGCCCAAGTGGTACAAATATCATTTCAATACATATCCCTACAATCGGTTCCACAAAAGAGAACTAAAGCTTTATTTTATTAATACATAATACATATGTCATTCTCTAGTTCAAGGCCTTACAAATCTCATACCACTCTGATATATACCATAATTACCAATAATGACATAACTTCACCAATGATGTAACAAATAGTAACATTTCGACTCGATGAGGATCTTCGCTAAAACCTTTTAGGACCTCGAAACGCTATCCGACATTCCGTTAGATTATTTACCGACAAACATAAAAATTCACACCTGGTATTTTACTTTTACTTTATTTATTGTTTCAATAAATTTTTCAATACGCGACTTATGGAACGAAAATCCATTTCACGCGTAGACGTCGGGAATACACGACCCCAATGTTCTCCCGGGGAACACTTTCAAACGCCAATGCATCACGGTGATCCAGGAACGAGCGCCATTTATGTGTTGGAATCTCAGAACGAGCTCAGAAAAACGGAACAATTTTTCAGAATTATTGCCCTGGCGTACGGTTATCCGTCGATGGTCGAGAGCCACTTCAGCCTCGATCGCGATTCATTTCCATTCGAAGTATCCTTTATTCTGTTCCTCCACGCAACCTACCTACACTTCCATCCCTCCTGTGCCCTTGTGTTCCACGTGCCACGCACACGAAGATGAAGAAGGGTACGTCGTGAATTGAATCGGATTCGAAGGCCATTGGATCGCGCGCGGTCCGTCGACCGATATTTCCATATCGATCCTAGGAATCGATCATCGGTTCACGGTTAACGGAAACACTCGGGTTTCGTATCATTCGCGGGACGATTTAGGGGTAGTTTTAGTTTGCCAGCGAAAAGCCGTAGCACTTTATGATACGACGTCTCGCGGCCATTTATGAGAATTCTATGCACAGGAGTCTTTCCTGCATCGATCACTTCCACGAAGGAATGCTTGACGATCGTACGTGTGCTTTCAGAAGGATTCGCGTTCCTTCAAAAGCCAGACGTCGTTTGGGAAGCAGTTTGAATCGTTCGTCTGCATAGCTGAGAAAAAGTGCTCGTATTCGTCTACAGACGATATTCGCTTCTTTTTCGCATTCGAATGCAAAAGGCGTATATACAGTGAGTACATTTAATGTTCAGATATTTGACAATTGCTACTTTATAGATTCACAAGTTTGACTAGGATGGATCATCAAAGTAATTTAATATCGGTTGAAATGTTTGAATAAATCAGGTTTAAACTATATTTGGTTATGTAATTTTCATGGCTTTCGGATAGACGTTGCATCTATGTTTAAATAGTTTCCGACGATTCGCAAACGTTGCAGTCTGCATCATCAGGTAGCTCCGATACTGAAGCTGCCTTAATTCAGGGTGTCTTTATATTGTTGTCGTCGTGCCTTGTGTTCGTTTCTTTGGAATGGGACAGCCGATCAGCCGAGCATTTATAAAAACAGGAGGACTGTGAACCATTCTTGATTTGTCGAATCTATCTCTATCCATCTCTAAATCTATCTCCATTGACGTAGTTCGGGTTTTGAAGTATTTCTAATTTTGTACGATATTTTCTGGAATGGTAGCAGTTATAATTAGCTATCCTCTCGGTTTCATTATGTTATATGTGATGACTGGTTTCCATCGAATGCGCCATCATTACATTATTGTATGATGTGACCTATTCGGGTGCACTTTTGATTTTCTTTGATGCGTATATCCAAAGTTAAAAACACAAATTTGAGCGCCCCTTGCGCACCTTGAATCTACATATATTTCAAAAATATATTGAGAGTATTATTAGGCACTTTTCAGATACCCAGGATCGATTTATTATATAAAAGGAATCCTACATCGAATCATTTATATAACCGGAGGATTGAATGTAATTACAATTTTTATAATCAACAAAAAATTGAACGTTAAACGTAACTACATGGCTTTGTTTGTGTCAAAATTACGAGACCCTTTTGTCGTATAACTCTCGATTGCAGCTGTTCGGCATTGTCGTTAATTTAAAACGTTGCGTCAAAAGAGGTACCAATTAATTCGTTGCTAGAAAACGTTCATTCATCAAAGCGCTGAATCGCTCCGGTGTCCAAAAAAGAATTATGCGAGCGTTTACTCGTCGCACAGCAAGATTAAACTAGTGTCTCTCAACTGTTGTTAAATCGTCGTTACATCTGAAGGTAATCAGAAAATTGGATAAGAACTTTTATATTTTAATTGAAATCACCTATGAATAAATTTCATTATCCTGAATTTTAATATTTACAAATTATGTAAATACTAAAATTTAAAAACTACATGTTTGTTGCCAAGAGTGCTGAACTTTACGATGATCTATTATTATAAAATTCTGAAAACATGTTTCGTAGCCCACGCAGAAGTTGCAGCTTTCCACTATTTTCATATTTTTATCCCGATTGCCTCCGAGAGATACGGCACACAGTAGAAGAAACAACGAATCCAACTAATAAAAATCCTACTCCACGTATGCAGTTTTCTGTATGTACTTTAATGGTACCGTTGTAAAGGAAAAACCTTAGACTTTTAATTTATGATTATATGAATAGCGACAAATTGTTTGTTTCGGCTTTGAAGTTATTTGGATCATATGAAATCTTTGAGACCGAAAAACTTATTCGCTTGTTATTATAGTATAAAAGCATCTTCGAGGGAATTGAATTTAGAAATACGAAAATAAAGGGCCAAAAGATTGTTGTGTAACATGATTTCACTGCATTCTAAAGAACGATAATAAATTTCATTAGCTTGAATTTTATCATTTACAAATTTTGATGACAAAATCTAAAAACTACATGTTTGTTGCTAAGAGTGAAAATTTTGAACTTTACGATTATTATTATAAAACTCTGGAAACGTGTTTCGTAGCCTACACAGGAGTTGGCTACGACCATTATAACCTTTCGGCTAACAAGGAATATCATCCAACCGTAACACATCGATTTTAACGAAACTTGGTACACAGGTAGAGTATTGAAAAATATTACACGCGTACTTTTTTATATTGGCTGATATCCATGTTCAAGGGGTGACAATTACCCTCAAGGTTGTGAATGAAATACCTAGTAATAATTACCTTTGCAAAATCTAACGGAGGCAGACAAAAATATTGAATATGAAATCAGTTTGATTTTTAAGAAAGAATAACAGGCCCTGAATATAAATGGTACCATGACATAGGTGGCATCATTGTAGTCAATTACATCGCTTTTCATGATATACTAAATATATTTATCCAATGAATTGTTGGCAATTCATGGCAATTGGATTTGCGTGAAAGCAAATGAAAATAATCTATAGAAAGAATAGAAACAAAAATTATAACCCACTCAAATCTGAACTTTGCGAAATCTTTGTATCCCAATAATATTACTAGTCTGATGAAGATGAAGTTATTGTTACTACGAGTCTGTGAAGAGAATTATAAAACAAGATAGATCGAAATATGAACTTATTTTCGATAATAATTGTCACAAAATTATTCCAAAGTGTGCAGAAAATGTATACAGTCAGTGTAATAAATATTCGTACAGGAACCATTTATTTTAAATGGATTGCAGT